CCACAATTTATAATGCTACAAATTTAATGCAATTTAACTTCATACAATGATAAATGTATGTAATTGTATACAAAAAATACACAGCTCTCATCATATCCGAACTTAAGTACAATATAATTATAAGCATTAAGTACATGATGTACTTGATGACAAAACAAACTCAACACACCCACATAATGCTTTAAAATTCTTTAACATATTAAAGCAGGTATACTACATTGTAAAACTTTAATTCCCCAATACTACAGCTTATTTTAACACTTTTACAGAGTAATTGATCATTCCATGTTAATGCAGTAATAAATGTTATGAGACATAATGATACATCTATGAAACCGTACTAACGGAAAGATAGCGAGAAGTGTCTCAGTATATTTATGTTGTCATACACTGTATTTCAGACAGGGATAACTGAACATCATAGACACTTAAAAGCATAATGTGGCTATTGTAAAAAAAAAAGCTAAATGAAAGGTACCATGGCATTTCTTATCATCCCAATAGCAAAGTTGCTGAAAAACAAACAAAATTACCTCTACATCTCTCAGTAACTGTCTGTTGCGGTCTTCAGCTGAAAGTATCGGCTTAACGTCTATTGTGGATTTTGATTGTTCTGGGTTTACATTAGATGTGTTCTCTGGTCCATCATCATCTGAGGTTGAATCATTACCATACTCTATCAGTTCCCATTTACTGCGAACAACATTACTTGAAACTGGCTCAGGCTCCACTAAAATAAAATAAACAATAACACAAAACCCTAAAATACAATGTACTAACTAGGAACTCCATCAATATCTTCTTCCATTGGAACACCATCTAAATCTGGATCAACAAGTGGCTCACCATCTAATTCCTCATCAACATTAACAGCTCCAAGGCCACCACTAAAATCAATTGGCCTATCATCAACAAGACTTGACTGTGTTACAGGTTCATCAGGCTGACTTTGAGCAGTGGAAATAAGAGCTGCAACTGTTTCAAATGCTTTCTTCTTTTCTAGTTCTTCTTGTGTTTTACCAATGAATACTTCTCTGAGACGATCAACAAAGTTAAAATGATACACAGCAAAGTGATCCCATGCTTGAAGGCACTTGAGAACTCGCTTCTAAAAATAATCATTTAAATGAAGCCTTTAGAGCAGTTTTAATTCATGCACCATACTTTGAAACTTTCAGCTCTCAGTCTAGAATCCATGCTAGTTAGTGTATCATGTAGATGCTCCATTAATGAAATGGCCTTTCCCTCAAAAATTCTGCGATATCTTGTTGATCTTCCAGTGTTACTGTTCTGCAATACATCATTAAGTAGATACAAACGTGCTATCTTAAGTGGTAGGGAAGTTTCCCGGAGACACAGAGATTCGTGTAAACAATCGGATACTTCTTCAGCTGAAGTGGCATGATCAATACACCATACCATGCACTCCAGGATTTTCGATCTCTCCATAGTGATACTTCTAAGCATATCCTCCAACTTGTCACGATCACCAGACAGCAATTGTCCTCTTTTGACAATTTCTGGTGGAATCACTTTCCCTCTTAATTTCTTTAATGGAGGAGGCTTCCACAAGGAGCCACCTTCAAACATCCTAAATTCCTCCTCTTGCCATGTCTCAGGAGAGTCACCCTGTCATAAAGTGTAAAAATTTAATATAGCTGGAACCAACACATACATACATCTAGAGTGCACTATTTTGTCAAGGCAGCTACAATGTTTTTTCAACGCAATCAACATACATGTAATAAACAGTATTAGATCTAGAAATACATTTAGAGTTTGGAGATCAATGTAACTAAGACTGAGAACCAATAGGTTAAATATGAGAAATTAAAAGCTAAAACGGGAGGTCTAGACCAAAATAACACTATAACAGTTATCATCAATTCTTAGCTAGAGCTTAATTAAGATAAAAATTAAAAATACTAGACGAATGTAAAACATTGAAGGGGCGAGCCTAAGCAATTAAAGCAATGTACATACAACAGATATTGACAGACTAACAATACTCATGACAGTGCAACTTAAGCAGCTCAGAACTTGATTGAGTGCAGTGTAGTTCTTGACCTACCTTTGTAATCAAATCAAGTTTAGCATTTGGAAAGCATTAAAGATAGCTAGAAACAGTCACTGCACAAATGATATGGCTAGATAGGCAACTGTAGCAATGTAGTCCAAGTTAGTTCAGGCTTAGACTGACATTCAAGTCATTCACATCAATAAAGATGGCATATCTGCTTTCTTGACATTCCTTGCAGCATTTGGACAGTAGTATGCAAGTACAGTAAGTCGAGTTATCAGCAAAAACAAGTTTCATAGTTACTTTATTGCATCTATAACCTTGCCTGGCTATTGGAGAAGCCTTTGGACAGAATTTCTGTCTTATTTTGCTGCTAGAAAACTCACAACTTTTCCCCGTGTGTTGGTCGCCATTTTATTTCATTGTGGCTACTCCCACTTTTAATGAAATATTCAAAACTGAATTTATACATGTATACCCTTTTCAATGCATAGCATCTACCGTATTACGCATAAATAGGGGTGACGTACGTGTACAGACAAACAGACAAACATACTTGTCTCGTTTATGTGGGGCGAGCTCAGGCTCGTCCCAATTACATCGTGTGTTATGCTATAGCTGCATTTTGCACTAACTTGTAGTATAGAGAAGAGCTTCCAACGATAATAAATATGATCAGAACTGGTATTGTCAAAAAGAAACTTAAACTTTGGATTGCTAATCTCTTTATTCATGATCATAGCTTCAAACATTGGCCCTTCTCTTATGACAAATTCAATCATACGATGAATGAGGCAGAGAATATCTTTGTCAGCAGGAAACACGACCCTAACAACTGAGTTGTACAATAACTATAAAAAACAAAGACAATTCATAAATACATGTACTTCAGTCACAATAACATAAATACAAAGCATAAATGACTATCACAAATTTGTGTGTGTTAGGATATTACACTGTGCACCAGCAAATGCAGCAATTTTCAATTGATAATTATGTGGCATGTTTCAAAAATCAAAAGTTTAAAATTGTCGCTTTGTCTTACAAGACTACATAACCTACATATACATGTACATGTACAATAAATCAATTCTAAGTGCTACTCATACTAAACCTTGTTTTGAAAGAATACACAAACATTCTTTTCACACAGTGCTACATGTATCTATACTGCTGAATTAATGGATCTAGAAATTGATGAATCATCCAAAAGGACAAAAACTAAAGCTAAAGAGCCCCATGAGACTACATGTAGATGCATCATCCTCTCTTGAGAATGCAGTCAATGCACTGAGAAATCAAAGCAAAATGTACACATACATCAAAGTAGAAGTTGCTAACATTAGTAAAAAAGGTTATTAGGGTAATGGTGGTGGTTACTGAAACCAACTATCATTTAATATGCCTTTAAAAACTTTAAAGTACTGGTGTAGTGCAGACTTGAGGTCAATTACAAAACCTCAATTACTATTCAATTACACTCCTTTTGTAAAAAATGGACTCAAAACTTTTATAAATACTGATTAAAACTTTCTACTTACTACTTACTTCATCAAATGACTGTTCATCTTCTTTGGCTACTGAAGGCTCATCAGATGTAGGTGGAGGAATACTAGCATAATTACCAGTAGTGTGTGACTTGACAGGTTTCAGAGACTGAGCATTAAAAGGAAGGCCTACGTGTACAAACAGTACTGACACAAGTACACATAAGTACGTGTACAAGTACCTGACTGTGAATCAGAAATTAATACTTTTTCTTCCTTTTCGGTATTGGAAACATAATAAGGTTTGGGAGGGAGAGGTACTGATTTGCCCCATCCAATTTGAACTTCATAACCCATAATTGATGAGCCTAAATGATAACCACATGCATAAAATAAGAGTTCATATACACATAGTAACATAAAATCACCTAATAAAAACATTTTCATTTAATATTGGCTAGAAGTACCTTTGGTTGCATCCAGTGCCTTTTCAGCATCTGGTCTTTTCATGTACGCAACAAAACCACAATTTTTATTCCGTGATTTTTCTTCCTCAGTCCTTGGCCACATAATCTTGACACTGGCTAATGGACCAAACTTGCCAAAGTGTTGACATAGCATCTCTTCTGTCATCTAATATTCAAGCCATTACTTTGAATCTATTCTTCACTTCACTTTACTTTAGGATTGATATTACCAACATAAAGATTAGTAGTAAGTGGGTCAACACTATCAATTGATCCTTTTGGTAGACCAGGATAATCTTCCACTAATGTGATGGGAGAGATACTGTCAATACCCATTTATTTTATTACTTTTCAATTTATCTTTGTCTGCATCACTAGGAGGCTGTAACAGAGGTTCACCTGCTTTTCGACTAACTTGATGCTCTGATCGTTCTTCTTGCATTCTAACATAAAAATAAATAAATATTATTGAGATACACATTGTGTACATTACCTCTTTAACTCCTCCCCAAACATTTCTAGCATACTTTTCTTTTTTTCACTAGTTTTTGCCTTCTTCTTCTATAGGACAACAATTATCATAGTGTACACTTGATCAACAATTACTACTAACACTAGCTTTCTGAGGCAACTGAGGAGTACTAGCTTCTTTTTCTTTCTTCTTCTCAAGAACACCCTTAACAAGTTTAGATGCTGAAGGTTGATAAAGTGAGCCAGCTAATTCATTCGCTTTATCTAAATTTATACAAAAAAAAACTGTACCAGAGTGCCCAATATACATAGATTAAGCAACATGACACAATAATTTGCAAAAAAATTCAATTAAAATCTTAAAAATACATGACACATAAATCAAATTATTTACCATTTATAATCTGGCATGAATGATTAATAAGATTGTAATTTTACAATTAAATCTTATAAAAATAAACGGGAATATTTTTTATGAGCAGAGTTTTACTAATTACCGATAATGAATCAGAATCTGCAGATAAGCATGTAATACATTTTTTGTATTGAATCTGAAATCTGAATTGGCAGATTACTATAACAATCAATAATTATAAATAGTAAAACTTACCTAAATTAGCCACATGATTAAAAAATATTAATGTCAAAAAGAAGTTGCCAATAATATATGTACATTTAAGTGCAGCTAGTCAGCTATTCTAACTCTTTTGAAAATTAAATTATAATATGCAGTATATTACATGTACAAGTACTGTATTTGCTTAAATAAATGTCCATGAATAATATTTTCAACTATAAATACACGTTTTAACCAGTATAAGTGCCCTCTCATTTAGATTGTCCCAGATAGCCTAATTGTTACAGTACTGTTCAAAACTTCTGACGGTCACAAGTTCTACTTCACTTTCGGGCTTTTAAATTTTTTAAAGCAATTTTTCCTTGTTAAGAAATAAACATCTGGGCATTTAATCAAGCAAATATTGTACATATACACTAAAATTTTCCTAAAACAAAGAATGAGTATTTGCATCTGTATTGGTAATTTTAATGCAGAATAATTGAAACATCGGCAAATCATTGTATCAGTACAATTCTACTTACTAGCGAGTGGCTATTAACATACAACATAGTTGGGCATACTACTTGTAAATAGTAATAAAGGTTTTCTCTACATCCTAATGCTTCTTTAAAATTCTTTAAAATTATTATTTTGTTGCTAAAAAGCTCAAAAGATGCATGCTACCATCCTGCTAGCCATGGCTGCATCCACTTTGCAGTGGCATGGGTGTAACAATTGTTATTTCTTCAATTCACATAAGTGTGATATCCAAACAATATCGCAAGTGGGTGAAAATAATCATAGAAACACCTTGGTCATATATTGTAATATCCTCAAATAAAAGCCAGGTGCAAATAAACACCAACATACATGTAGCAATAAAATGGAACTATAAATACGCAAATCTAGCCTTAAAATATCATATATGCCTTGTAAATACTTCGTTAAGCTGCCTGAAATCATTTGCATGGGGTCCCTGGTTTAAATTCCGCTAATGACTTAAGATTTGTTTTATTTTTTAATTTTTTTCGAGGTCCAATGTCATTGTAAGAAATAGACACCCCAACTTTTACTTCAAGAGGAAATACGGTACTATAGAAAATTAGTAACATGTAACTCAACTGACATGCATAATTCTTCAGTGGTATACATATAAAACAAAATTAGTCCTGGTAGGCTGGTACCAAGATAAAGATCGAGGTACATGTACATGCATGCAAATATCTCATAACTTATATTTGCAATATAAACTGCAAAATAAATTGTAGTTCTAAATTAAAAGCACAATATCCATCGCAAGTAAATTATTTATAAAGTGCCAAAAATCAGCTACCTTTTTCATCAGGATTGATGACACTACCACGGACAAATGTTTTCTTTGTTGTATCACATTCTTCAAAAGTAGCAACAAAATCTTCAAAAACTTTAGCCGTCTCTTTTGCTTCTAACTAAACAAAAGTACAATCTCACCAATCAAACGCATACTTCCTTCTTTATTTGTTTTTCTTCTTTCTTCTTCTGAATAATTGCAGTCCTTAACATAACAGAATTAGAGGTGCCAATTGAAAATGCCTTGAGTTTATCTTTTGACAACTCCTATCATGTCAAGCATCACTAAAGCAAGTTAAACAAATCATACCTCCACAGAGTTAGGTTTTAACTTTTCCTCTTTTAATCCCCAAGGTAATGCTTTCTTATCAGCCATGCTTGATGCTTGCCTGTACTAATTTCTAATAGATCACGTGACAAATTTAATTTAGTCAGTTAGTCACGTGTTATCTAACTTATCCATAAGTTTAAAAGTGGTGAAGTTCGAGTCTGCTCTGTACTTTTTGCCCTTTCATTATGGAGCCACCTAAGAAAACTAGGATGCCAAAAGTGGCCAAAGTCAAGAACAAGATGCCAGCAGAAGTACAGATTACGGCAGAACAACTACTGCAAGAAGCTAATGCTCAGAAAATAGAAAGAGTAGCTAGACGTCCCAGACAGAAAGTGGCTGACCCTGAAGAATTAGCACAATTACAGTTAACCAGAAGGAAAATGTTTGAGGACAATATTAGGAAAAACCGTACTGTCATGTCCAACTGGATCAAATATGCTCAATGGGAGCAAACACAGCAAGAATATGAGAGAGCACGCTCTATCTACGAACGCGCCTTTGATGTTGATCATCGCTGTATCACCTTATGGCTGAAGTACGCCGAGATGGAAATGAAGAATAAGCAGATTAATCATGCACGAAACATATGGGACAGAGCAGTCACCCTTTTACCTCGTATCAATCAATTTTGGTTTAAGTATGCGTACATGGAGGAGATGCTGGGAAACATACCAAACGCAAGAAGAGTTTTTGAAAGATGGATGGAATGGGAACCAGAGGAACAGGCATGGCTTTCATATATTAAAATGGAGCTTCGTTATAAGGAGGTTGATAAGGCACGATCAATTTATGAAAGATTCATTTTGATTCATCCAGAAACAAAGAATTGGATTCGTTACGCTAGGTTTGAAGAAAGTCAGGGTTTTATTGATAATGCGAGGAATATTTTTGAAAGGGCTACTGAATTCTTTGGAGATGAAGGTTTGGATGAAAAGTTATATATAGCCTTTGCCCGATTTGAAGAAAGCTGTCAAGAATACGAGCGCTCACGTACCATATTTAAGTATGCACTGGATAAAATTCCTAAACCACAGGCTGTCGATTTATTCAAAGCTTATACCCACTTTGAAAAGAAGTATGGAGACAGAATTGGCATTGAAGATGTAGTGATCAATAAGCGTAAGTTTCAGTATGAAGACGAGGTTAAAGCTAATCCAAATAATTATGATGCATGGTTTGATTACATACGATTATTGGAATCTAATGCAAGCCTGGAGTCAACAAGAGATTTATATGAGCGTGCAATTGCCAATGTACCTCCACTTCAAGAGAAGACATATTGGCAGCGTTACATCTATTTATGGATTAATTATGCACTTTATGAAGAGTTAGTTGCCAATGATATTGATCGAACTCGAGAAGTCTATAAGTCTTGTCTAAATATTATTCCTCACTCTCAATTCACTTTTGCTAAAGTGTGGCTGCTGTATGCCCAATTTGAAATTCGACAGAAAGAGTTGGCTACTGCAAGGAAAGTCTTGGGGACAGCCATTGGTAAATGTCCAAAGCCGAAGCTCTTCAAGGGTTACATAGAGTTAGAGCTTCAATTGCGTGAGTTTGATCGTTGTCGTAAGATATATGAGAAGTATTTGGAATATGATCCTGGCAATTCGATTACATGGATAAAGTATGCAGAGTTAGAGGCCATA